GTTTATTCGGTGTTATTTGCTTATTACCATATACATTTTTTTGTGAGTGAACTTGTGTGCTTGTATCAGTTTGGAATATTCGCGTTTCTTCATAAGTGTCAAGGGTACTGTGAAAACATTACCATCACTGGTAAATTCAGTAACTACCAGTAATTATTGCATTTATACATGTAGTAAATTAAGATATAATAAAATCGAAAAGAAATTACTTATTTTTCTACCATACAGATATAACAGACTTCAAAAAATTCGTAATATGAGGTGGGAGTTTGGAAGTGTACTTCCTGCAGATATCAAAACCAATATGTCAGAACAAGAGGTAACTAATATAAATTCATTAGTAGGAAATCTAGAAAAGGGGGCCTTTGGTTCCAATTACCAGTCATATTTCTGCTGTTTATTCACTGGCTTTTAACCATTGTTGCATTTCCCATCACAAACGCCTTGGAACACTAGTGTGGACATCAAGATTAATTAAAATTGTCCTGTTTCATTGTGTGTTTCTCATATGGATATTTCGCAATTGTAATGTCTATTGCAGGTCCAGTGGTTTACAAAATACAACAAGTGTTTGGCTAATTATATGCGACGACTTGGAGATAGTGGGTTAGATTTAACACAGGTATGTATTTGTTTATATTTCCAAGCATGTTTCAGCGTAATGCCTCTAAATTTTAAAATGCTTTAAAAATTTAGGAGCAACAATGAATTTTATTGTCATCTCACTTATCCAAGCTGATTGGAGGAGAGCTGGTCATGTGGAATGAAATTAATCACAATATACACCTCACTTTATGCGAATAACACTAACCTTTGACTCCAATGGCAAATTTGGGGTGAATTTCAATATCAAAATGCAAATTTTGAAAATCTACGTACAGACAGTTTTGGCAAACATAATCACTGTGAAAATCAGAAAAATATTGTCAATACAGATGCTGAAAACTATGATATTTCACTTGCATGGTGCGAGCAGCTGACAAGATTGCATCCACTCTAATTGCTGGTAACATAAGGCAAATGGGCAGCCAGGATCAGCATTGAGTTATAAATAAATAATTTATACACGTCTTGGTTGACACCATTTTATACACTGGCCACAACAAATCATATGGATGTGAAACTAGATTTACTTTGTTAAATGTCTACCATGTCCTGCACTCATCAATGTATGACAAAATTGAATCTGACTATGAATGCTACAAAATGGCAAAAACCCTTTCATTCAATAATTAAATTGATACTTTAAATTTTAATCAAGTATGTTTATTTGCATTGAGTTAGCAAAAATATGTACTGCCAAATCCAAGCTGTTTTGTATCAAATTCGTTCATAACATTTAGTGTACGTCCTAGTGCCAATTGACAACTTTTTTCTTCTTTTTTTTTTTTTTTTTTCAAATTACTTTCACTTAATGTTTTCTTCCATTTTGTACTTGTGTGAGGTAACTTGTCTTGAAATATTTGAATGTTGACTTGAGTGTTGAATGTTTGAAATCTGATTTGAATCCCAAGGGACGTAACATCTAACAAAAGACCTCTGTATTATCTAGTGTCATACCAGCATTGTCTGAATCACACGGATTGTTGATGCCGACTCATCAGCCTGGGTAAACGTGTATTTTATGTTAAACAAATGGCCAAGTTTGATTGGATGCGTCTGTTGGAAAAGTGCCCATTCAGACGCTGTGTAACATTGCGTCGTAAGCTAAAGAACAAAATGTCGACGTGTAGCACGGTTACTTCAAAATTCTTCTAGTAACTGTGCGTGTAGAGTGTGTTTAGGTTATTTGCCAAACCAAAAAAACCAACACTACATTTTTTCACCCAGTTTTCCACAATTTTTTATGCCAGCGTTGCAGGCTGTTTGTGGCATACTTCGCCAGCAAAGTGACAAATATTTATGTCGACCATGTTTTAACAAAGTAATGAAACTGTTAACTCTGAAAGAAAATCTCAGAAACTTTACTCAACTAATCATTGATTTTCGTGATTTGCCATTTGTTTTGGTGATCGATGAGGCTTTTTGTCTTAAAAAACTATTTTTAAACTAGCCATTTAAAAAAAAACTCGCTCTACTGTATTTAGATACAAGATAGCTGATTGGCTGTTTATTTTTGTGGCATCTCCCCTCCTTGTCGTTAAGGGTGCCTATTAAATACACACCATAATGGTTCAATCTGCCAAGGGTTAGTTTGCAGGGGTGACCTGAAACAAACGTTCCTTGGCTGGCGAAGATGGCATACCAGTGCATTTTTAATAAATATAATAATAGAATACTTTATCATCCTACAGGATATGCAGCCACCCAAGTCACTATACATAGAAGTAAGAACACATTTTCTGCAATTAAAGTGGAGGAGTCGTCACCTGCGCATGTGTCAGATGGCCATAGCATGTCATTGTTTACAAACAAGCGTCTACCTTTGCGTTTTTAGCGTGTGTTATCGCCAGTAGGAACTCAATTCCCGCAGGTGCGCAGGTGGCAACCCTCCCGCTTTAATATATCATGTCTTTACTTTTACTCATAGTTTTATTTGATACATGGAATAGTTATTTTGTAGTCCAGTGAGGCCTGTATGGACTAGTTACCACATGAGCAGTTTAAAATGGAATTACTAAGTTCAAATCTGGTTTTTGAAATGAATATCAAATTCTCTAATTTGTCAAAATGTTCATATTTATATTGTGATATATAATATTGTATTCGTAATATTTTATAAATACTGCTACATTTAATGTGTTTTTGAATTGCTAATTCGTGTATTCACTGCTCTCTAGTGAACAGAAA